CTGATGGACTACCCGAGAGTATCCTACTCTGTCTATTCGCAGGCGGAGTCGTACTCAGTCAGAAGCAACAACAGCAACAACAACAACGACAGCAACCAACAAACGAACAACATCAACAACCAGAACACGAGCATGAGGTTTACTATGTCGACGTCAGTCTTTTAATAAGCCTCACCCAGCAGCGCCTCAACCGGAGGAACCAACCCCCTAACATCTCCATCTCTTGATCATGTAGTTCGATCCCTCCTGTCTATCCTTCATCCTCAACTTCTACACTCAAGCCAGACTGTCCTACTATGGTACTCAGAACAGACCACTCGAGCCAGTCCAACTTCAATCTCAACTCCCCTCACCCCTCTTCTATCGACAGGCGATCATCGTCCTACGCGAGGAACTCGAATTCTTCGCAATCCCAACTGCCTCCGATCCACCGCTTACCAATCATCACAAGCATCAGAACCTGCTCAGCGAACTCAAACTGAAATGTGGGACTAGCTTACTCCAACAGCAGAACATCTTCACCGCCTTGCAACGTAACGTCAAACGTGAAAATAATATTGCTGAACAACATCTGATCGATATGTTATGTATGAGGTCAGTCATCAACCATTCAAACCAATCAAATCTCATAATCATCATCCTGATTCAACGTACTTCTTCTCTCTTCTCAGTGGCTTCACCCGAGAGGATTCTTGGGGCTATCGATCAGCCGAACCACAACGCTGTTCGATCACCTCATTAGCACTCGTCCTGCTCAAGACTGGGATCACTCACGAATCTCAAGAGATGACCGGTCCGGCGAATCTAGCTCGGATGAACCCACAGGTAAACTCGGCCCAATTCACGACCGCTCAAAAGCTACTCTTGTTTTGGAGGAAACCCGCGGTACGCCTCTAACAGACACTCATCTACTACATTAAATATGTGCTGATGTTCTCTATTTATCTCAGCGCAAGTGCTGGTGGGATGCCACGGTCATCAACCTTACCCTTTCAGATCAACAACCTCGAGCAGTCAAACTGTGGGCAAGACGCGTCTGGACCCTCGAACTCAGCTTAGTCCGTCTCTCTTCTCCTAATCTCTCTATGTCTGATCGTCACACACCTCTTCGAACACTAAAGAACTTCGACTTCCTCCATCCAACAGATTTGACCCATCCATCTCCTGTCGTTCTATTCTCTATATAAAACTTCATGGATCGCAAATCCATCCAATCCTCACCTAATCATCATCCATCTAAGTTATCAAGTCTTCACTTTCATCTTGACTCCATGAGTTTCTTCGGTTCATATTCTAACAGGTCTTGGATACTTGGTTCGAGTCGTCGTGTGCAGATAGGCGATTGTCCTTGATTATTCCTTTTTTGTTTAATAATCATATTCGACACTTACATAACAGAGACACTCAATGAACATTGATAGAACCATTATTTTTTGTTTCTCTTCTCTTCCTTTACTGCTCATCTCATTCCTAATTGAATCGAACAGTTTTCTTCCCTCCTTCATTCACTTTCTCCAGCTCACCATCAATCCCATGTCGCGATCGATTCATCCACCATTTTCAACCACGGATTCTTCTTTTATGCCTTTCGATACCTGTTTCTCTTCCTTATTGTGTAATCCGCGCGTCAAGTCTCCATTAGACCTCTGATTTCCTTGTTTTCTCTTATCATCTCATCTCATCATCGGCATACTTTCACTCGCTCATCAACTTTTACTATTCTTTACCCTTTCCTTGATTTATCAACCCCTCCAATCACTTCATCCTCTGACCTTGCAATTTCATACTACTTTGTCCTTTTCATTTTCTACTCACTTCATTGTATATCTTACCAGTTCACATAATACTTTCTCTACTTTCAATCGCTTGATGTTTACTACCTCGCTCTTTGAGTTGTTTCCATCCTCCCTTCTTTTCATTGGTTGACATCATCACTGATCACACCAATTGATCAATTTTTGATCTTATATTTATTTAGCTTTCAGTCTTTCTTGTTGGCTCGTCCTTTCCTCATTGGTTTTTTTTACTCATTACACAGGTCAACAGTGAAAGTGAAACTTCAGATTCT